TGGGTAGCAGAGGGAGCAGGAACAGTGCCAGCCTTGCTAGTGACGAAGCAGATGTTGCAGACTCAGAGTGGGAGCGCACAGAGTCTCAGCGCAATTCCATTTCCAACTGCGCCTCAATTGCTCCGTCTCTGTGTTCGGATGGACACCTGTCCACGGTGGCGCCAGAGGACGTTTTCCTGGATCACGCTGATGAGCTGAAACCAGTGGAGCTTGACACAGAAGAGCCAGGGAACCTGACGAGGCAGCTTGTCAAGAGGCTGACATCTTCAGAAATCGTCTCACCAGCTGGGAGCTCAGCCGAGGGTGGAGGGAGCCTCGGCTGGGCAGGAGAAGGGAGCAGAGCTTTCCTGGAACACAGCCTGGAGGAGGCCATTCACAGCCTGCTGACAAAGCTGGAGTCCCTGACCCATCGCTGCAGGGAGCTGCAAGACCTGGAGCAGGAAGTGATGCGTCTGGAGGACCTCCTCAAGGTGATAATCATGTCAAGCAGCTTGAAGGACTATTAAAGGAAGTGTTAAGTGAGAAATAGCAAAGGAAGAAAGTTACTTATACCGAATATTGGCTCAAAAGTAGTCCCTCATATTATAATTAATTCACTTTAATAAAAATAGATTTTACTTTGTTTTATAAAACTTTAAAAACAACACATCTGCTGCACCTTTTTCCAACAGCTATGTTGTAAAATATCCGCTCAACATTTCTCCTCAGTGCCGTCTGCCGGGTCACAGGAGTCGGTCGTCCAGCCTCAGCCTGACTGTGGAGAGCGCCCTGGAGAGTTTCGACTTCCTCAACACGTCCGACTTTGATGACGATGATACCGGAGACGACAACACAGGCATCTGCAGTCCCCCTCAAAAGTCTCCACCTTTGGATGCTGTCACAGAAAGCATTGAGTGAGTTCTTGGATAAAGGAAATTTATTTATTTATTTATTTTTAGTTCAATTTCTGTCATTTTCTTTCTCTCATTTAGAATGAGAAAAGATTTGAAATAATTAGAGATAATAGGTTTTGAAATGCAGATTTTGTTCAGATTTTTTGAATGTTTTCTTCTTTAATGATTGTTGGAAAACCTGAAGGAACCATCCTTGAATTGAATCATGTAAAAGTATAATTTCTGATTTAACATGCTGCCACCTTGTGGTCTCTGTTGGTCTGTGCTGGCTAGAAGCCAACACTCTGAGGCCAGAGGACACCTGAGCGAAGCCCTTACAGAGGACACTGGGGTTGGAAACAGCGTGGCAGGGAGTCCGATGCCACTCACCACTGGAAACGAAAATCTGGATGTTGCCATCGTTATCCACCTTCAGTACTGCATTCACCTCATCCAGGTAGATCTCCGCTGCCTTCTTCTATCACAGACTGTAGTTTACCTTATTTATCAAAGTTTAACAGCATAAATTGTCTTGCAGCTGTTGACCAGTGGGGTGGGTATCTGGCAGCGCCGCAGTGTTCTCCTAAAACTATCCAGGGAGACGCAGCTGCTGGAGGAGCTTGCAGAGATCAACATGGACCGGCTAGGAGCAGCCACCTCTGCTGCTGATGGTACAAGTGGGCAGATTAAAATCCAGAGGGGAATTTTTCATTGAAGTGTCGCCTTTTATAGCCTCAACTCGTTCTCTTTCCAGTTCTCCCGAGCCTCACTGAGCGCCCCCAGCTGATGACTCTGTGGTCAGAGTGTAGCGGCTCTGCTGGGCTCTTCCACACCACGCTAGACCGTGTCTTCAAACACATGAACCAGCGCTACTCACCATTGCTGCAGGAGAGACACCCACACAGCGCTGACACAGGTTGGCCCTTTGCTTATGAAGCAGCAACAGCTTATCTTGTGCAGACAGAAGCTGCCTCAGTGGCTGATCTGTCTTAAAAAACAACATAAAATTTTAACAGAAGGCTACTTAAATGCCCTATTTCCCTGATTTTCCAGTTTTAACACATAAAAGTAGATAGATAGATAGATAGATAGATAGATAGATAGATAGATAGATAGATAGATAGATAGATAGATAGATAGATAGATAGATAGATAGATAG